TGCAAGAAAGCGCTGAGAGTTCTGGGCCTTGCCACTCTAGAACCGAGGGAACAATACTGCACGCGACATGGTGAGCAAGATCGTTTCCAACGGCTTTCAAGACACTACAGCTACTTCTATCATGGTTGGACCACAAGGACGAGAGGTTCCAGTGCAAACAGGAGCAGCACTGAGGTAGGAACTACTTTTTCTGCAGTACCAGCACTTTGAGCTCGCGACGCTATTCCTGCTTACAACTTACTTTAGGGGCTCCTTCCGATGCGCAAGGCCAGAGCGGGTGCCGCCCTCGCCGAGCAGCTCAGCTATTTGCGACTCCAGCGAACTATAGGGGCGCGCCGGTCAGGCAGTATGGCGGGCGAAAGGAGGTTGCTTTCGTCGTTCAGCACGCTGACCACCATAAATTATTTCACAGCAGCGTAAGATCGGTGTTACATGTGAAAGCAAAGCGATTTTTCGACGGTAGAAACCTTCTTCTAGTCAGTGCGTAGGAATGACACAGCGGAAGCATAACAATAATTACTGGAAACAATGTTTGTTTCTATGCTGCCTACGTGAACCAAGCAGCGATAACAGACGACAGAGTGGAAACAACCTCCTCTCCTGAGCTTCTCGGTGTTGCCGCTACGCTGCGTTGATTTCGCTGGAGTCGCCAATATTCAGCTCATTTACAATGGCAAGAAAGGTTTGCGTTTCTTCTCGAGAGAAACTTACGGAGGGACACCCAGGATTGTGCCCACTTTTTTTCTGCTGCCAACAAGACAAGACTCACTTCCTCCATGTTCTCAGCTAGGCACATAGCCAGGATTTTGATTCGGGGGGGGGGGGGGGGGGGGGGGAGGAGGAGGGGGGGGGGGGGGGAGGGGGGGGGGAGGGGATTGGTGCCCGCTTTTTGCTACCAACTCTGCCAATACTGAGTTGGCGGCAAAAGGAAAATGAATGCTATACTCTAGCTCTGCAATGCCTATACAGTTACTTTATATCTGGACTAAGTGCAGCGCTCGTGTTAAACCACAAAACTAAAGAAAAAAAAAAAGGTCGCATGAGTGCAAAGACAGGAAAGGACCTTGAGACAAGTTGAAAAATATGCCATCTCGGGATCGTCCTTTTGTTAATTTTATTTCTTATGTTTTGTAACAAGTCGTCGCAGACTGTCGCCGCGAAGCGGCTTGAATGGGTGGACCGGGTAGGTTAAAGGGATACTGAACCGAAATTTGGATTTCGCAAAGTAAGGCTGCAGAAGTGTTGAACCGGATTCTACGAACTCCAAAACATCCCTCGTACATCGATATCTCAAACGGATGGCCGTACTTTTGGAAAAGAAGGGCGTGATCAAGCGAGTTCTTTGACGTAACTGTCCTCTGGGAGAATTTGAGAATGAGGAGAAGCGGCCTCGCTTCTCTCCTCCTCGCTTCGGTTCACCAGCTTGGCGGGACGTAGCGAGGAGAGAGAATGGGAATCGTGACGTGCCTTGTCTCGTCGGCCTCGTCAGCCACGTTCAATCGCGCACTTCTTTCCCAAAAAAATATGGCGATCCGTTAGATATATCGCCGTATGTGTGATATTTTTTGGTTTTGCAACTTCCCGCCTATCCGCCCGGCCTTGTTTAGTTAACTCGAAATCTCGTTTCACTATCCCTTTAACACGCACGCGCCTTAGTGTTACGTGTGCGACATAGTGGTCGTCCCCCACTGCAGTGGCGTGGACAGGGAGGAGGCTTATGGGGCTTCAGCCCTCCCTCCCCTGGTCATAAAGATCCCAGCCTCCCCAGCCAGCCCCCCCCCCCCCCCCTAATAAGATCTACGCATGGCACCGTGAAAGCGGTGAAAGTGGCAAGTTATTTTCTTCGACAAGGAAGAGCACATGGGGGTAAATTACTTTGCGGCAATTTTATGGATTGCTATGGCGCAGTATTTGCTTTAAAATGTCAGGGAAAAAGGTATATTTTGGCTTTTAAAAAGCTGCATCCAGTTAACATCTGCAACGATTTTTCGTGCGGCGAATTGCCCTATGACGAATCGGCCTATTCGACGAATGAACCGCCGACGAGTTGACCGTCGGCGATTTGTCCTAGACCCTCACCACATCATCTCAGCTGCGATATACAACGCAGGACGACATTGCATTCCTATAAAACAGGGGTCTCAAACACGCGGCCCGCGACTCGCTGGGACGCGGCCCGCAGGCAACCGGCTACACGTTCCGGTTTCTGTGCGCTGGAAATGGCATGCGCCATAGTGATCTCATCACGCCGATTCATTTCCGCTCGAAAAGTAGCTTTGCTATTTTAACGTATTCACATAGTTTATACTTATCTGTGCTCATTTGCACTTTGTTTCGCTTTATTTTTTTGCTTCCCAGCTTTTTGCAATGTACAACAATTACGCTACTGCTGCAAGCGCAAACTATTCGTTTCAGGATGTATCTCGGCTGTGCGAACTCTCAATCGGCAGGAGTACCTGCCAAAGATAAAGCTACGAGGTCGGGACTAGAGCCATCACAGTATTTTTTCAATGTGTTGTAACAAAAATCGTCAGGAAAGCAAGAACTGTCAAATTAACTGATTGATTTTTTAGAGACATGTTGAGCTTGGTGAATTTTCAAGCGAATTAAGCAACGAAAACGACAGTGCAATTTCTTGTTTCGTTAGAAATGCTAGCACGCTGGCGGGCGGTGTCATTTTAATTATTGATATCACATGACGTGAGGCCCCAAAGTAGTTATATAAACCAATCAAATCTAAACATGTCACTGGCAAAACTGTGAGTTACAAAAAGCGTAGAGGACGAGGTCTTTTCAATTTTAAAATCGTCTGATTACCCCCCCCCCCCCCCCCCCCCCCGTTGCGTTGGCCCTCAACCTTTCCGGTATGGGACATCTGGCCCCCCTGACTCTAATGAGTTTGAGAACACTGCTATAGGAGGTGCGCGTAAGAAACATTTAATAGGACCCAGCAAGGTGGGCAACAATTGCCGGCAACTTGCGTCATGCAAACGTTTTTCGGCGAAGGTATGGAGTGCGAAGGTCAGTACACGAGACCTCTCTTGCCTAGGCGACGCAAGTGGACATTACCAGTCAACTGCTTCCGTTGCATTCTCATATTTAAACAAATCTAAAATGTTACTGTGAACCAAGAAACTTTTTTTTTCTTCTCAAGTTACAGTATTTTGTGTGCAAAATAAAAAGTGTTACTGTATCTTTGTGGCGTTGCAAGCACGAGGTGCTTAGGCCTTTCCGTTGCGGCGTAGAAACATTATTCTAAAACACCCTGGCACAGCGTGCGCTAACGCATGCGCTAAATTTAGCGCTAGCATGGGCTCGGTCGTTCGGCGAAAAGTAAATCCGGTAGAATAAACACAAATTCGGGACGAAAACAGACGCATACAACTCTTTCAACTCTTAGCGAGATTTATTTTGTCTCCGTTCAAACGACGGCCTTCGAGCAGGTTCAGGGGAGGGAGCAGAGAAGGAAAAAAGGGGGGGGTTGAAAGAAGAGGAGACGGAACTGGGCGGAAGGGACGGAACTGGTCCCTTCCGCCCAGTTCGGGATGGAGGAATTTCATCTCCCTGTCGGAAAGGGCTAGAGAAGCCGAAGCGACGTTAGTGATCGAGCTCTTAATGGCGTGCGATTCGGCGACTTCCCTGCCAAATCTCTGCCGGTGTCCTCCCAGTACGCGCATACCTTCGTATCTGGGCGAACAACCGTCGCACTTCATGCGGTGTACGACTATTGGATGCATGGAGTCGTCAGGGGGTTTGCTCACCTCCTGCGAGTGTTCCCTCAGGTGCTCATGCTTACGACAAAAGGATGGTATAAACCACCTCCTTCGTGCACTTAACAAACTGCTGTCCGTGCTTTTTGCAGTCTTACCGCGTTACCGGTAACTAGTTACTTTTTTCGGTAACTTTTAACTGTAACGCGTTACTCTTTAATACTGGTAACTTGTAACTGTAACACTGTTACTTTTTTATTGGGTAACTGTAACTGTTTAGGCCGTTACAGTTACTTTTTACTATAAAATTAAAATTCCTGGCTGACAAAAAAAAAAGAAATTGAACAAACAAAAAAAATTGCCTCGTTTTGCCCACGACGGACCATAGACGAGACGGACGAGCGAGCACGAAACCGGGAGATTAAGGAAGCGGCGCCTGCGGTGGTAGGGGAGGCAAACAATGTGTGTTTCACCGACTTTGGCTCAATCTTCTTCTGTGGGGACCGTCTGCGGGTGTCGGTGGTCATGCGACATGTCTCCGAGTATTCCGTCTAGGCTGTGTCTGCCCTTCCCCCTCTCCCTTCCTCTTTGTCAGATATGTCCGCGCTGTACGTCGCTTTTACACCCAGCCGGTCGCCGCTCCCTCTTCGCTATGAGTTTCCAAGGAAGCCGTCCCCATATTAGGCGGAAAGTCGGCGCTTGTTTAACTTATTCTTTCTCTTCGGAACCGCTCGAGTAAATTGCCTTTCCCGCTGACAGCCCCAAGAAATACTCCAATAGACGTTTTGTTGTGGATTCTCTGCAGTGCTCCAGCTGAAGCGATTACCCGGAAAACACGTGTTTTTAAGAGAGAGAAATTGCTGTTTTGAGGCGCGTGTGCGGACTGATCTTCCACAGTTGGCGTTTGAGACAGAGGCGCCGCGGTGGTCGTCGTACACACGTAGAGCACCAGAAGGCCTCACTTTGTCTCCTTTCCCCCTATATTCTTCCAAAGCTGTTTGACCTGCTATATTTAAGCCTGCTTTCGAGTATATCCCATAAGGTAATTATGTGACCATCTGTGTCCTCTTTGGTTTCGGAGTGAAAAATAAACGAAAATGTTCACTGACGCGGGAGGTCCATCTAACGCAACGTATGTCCGAAAGCTTGTACCCTGTCGCCTATTGGTGAAAACTTTTGGGGGCTGAGCCACGTGCGGGAATGCGATTGGTTTGCGCAGAGGCCAGTTTAACCAGACGGTTCAAAAATGGCCACTATTCTTCAGCTATCACTTGTCAGTCTATTGGGAAATCTCAAGCAGAGGTTACTGTGCGCGTTCAGCCTGTTTATTCTTGATAGCGCTCAAGCCATCCTGACAGGCAGTCATGTCTTCCGACACGGAGCAGCCGTTACCTTGGCCCTCGTATCGCGAATATTTTTCTGTTCTGACAACGACTGCGACAAACATCACAGTGCTGTGCAACATTTGCAGTAAACAGTACTCAGCAAGCAGGACGTCTTCGTCCAACCTGCGCAAGCATCTAGAGGTATGTTTAAGCTTTCTATTCTTGGGAACTCCGGTTTCTTATGGCTCATTTGGCGTTATGAATTGTGCTGACGATGGGGAAATATATCCATATCATTAAATTGTGCTCTTTTCTTTCTTTTTTTTTTTTTTTTTTGCGCAGAAGAAACATCCTGTCGCTCTGAAGGAATTCGACTCTAAGAAAAGGAAAGCCGAACCTGGTCAGCCCTCGAATGAGAAAAGACATGCGGGTGGCGGCTCGACACAGACACTGGAGTTCTGTCTTGCAGGAACGAGTCGACACAAAGCTGTGCCGCAAAGTCAGATAGACAGGCTAATTGTAAACTTTGTGGTAGGCGACATGCAGTGCTTTTCAGTCGTTGAAAATGAACACTTCCGGCGCTTGATCATCGGAATGCAGCCATCGGCAACAGTGATGAACCGAAAGTCTTTTGTGAATCATCTGGACATCCTCTACCGAGAACAAAAAGCGTCCCTCATCGCTACCCTTGAGAAGGCGACGAGGGTCTGCTGCACAGCAGACTGCTGGACAGCCTCAAACAGGTAAGTTCTTGATGCACTGCACCCTATCTATACGATACTCTCAGTGAGACGCAGGTCGGTTTGTTTTAGAACCCGGCACATCTAAGCCTGTAATTTGTGAATAGCTGAAATAATTAATATACAGATATTGTAGTACATTGTCAACAGAAACCTAGCCTTAAGATCAAAGATCTCGTAGTCCATTTTCTAGTCTTTTTGTAAAAAGTGTCTCCTGTTGCATCAGCACTTGAGCAGTAAGTGCATGGAGCTAATATGTTTGTGACCAGTCAAGCCACAAGCCACTACTGTGTTACTGATCCAGCCGTTTATTTATGGCAGCGTTAGAGTCATATAACGTTATCTTCCCTTTGCGTTATACGTTTACACCGTAGAAAACACCCGCGCGCAAGTAAACCCGAAGTTGAACGTAATCACCATTCGAGCGCAGCGATACCTTGTTTATTTATTTATTTATCAATACTGCCAGCCCAATATAGGGCAAAGGCAGGAGTGGGGTAATACAGTGTCACACATGCTTATTATAAACACAACAATTGTTTAATCTAAGCGGCTGCTCAGCCATTCAAGACCGTTACGAAAGGGCACCGTTCTGGCGTTTGTCCTTTTTTTTTTCATTCAATGAAAGCAGAGAGGACGCTGTTTCCTTGGGTTTTTAGATTTTGTTTTGTACTGTTCGACGCGCATTTAACTTTTGGCGGCGCTCAGATGTATGTTGGAACGAAATATAACATTTTCGCACCAAATAATTTGTAACCCCTGCCATTGATCGATGTGTTTGGCGCATCACTTGTGGGCAAGTAGACCTGTGCGTCTTTTTTTTTTTTTTTATATAGTGAATAGTAAATTTGACAGGTTCAGTATTCAAGGCCTCTCTGGAATCGAGATTTTGCTGTTCGGCTGAACAGCGACCTCTTGATTTTCACTTATTAGATTTCCAACATATTGCCATTTTCGTAATTTCGTCGTCAAATGGTAAGACATAATAAAAATAGTCCGCATTAATCAGCTATATTATGAGTGTCACGGTTATAACCGGAGCTTTGTTGTTCCTAAACTAATTAGTATGACTGGCGAGAAAATTGCAGAAATTTAAGATTCCAATTAGAATATTTTGCGGTGACCATAGGAGCTTCAAGCATGTATACAAGAGCATCGTGCTTGGTCGTGATTGCATTGTCACTACATTGAAGGGCGCAGCAACAACAATAGTCATTCCTTTTTTTTTCCAATCTTTTTAGGAGCTTTCTCGGAGTGACAGTTCACTTCCTGGATGAGGAATCCCTGGAAAGGAAATCCGCAGCGCTGACCTGCCATCGGCTTTCAGGCCGTCATACATATGATGTGATTGCTTCTGCGCTCCATGCAGTGTTTGTGGACTACAAAATATTACACAAGATATGTGTCGTGATCACGGACAATGGTTCGAACTTTGTGAAGGCTTTTAGGTAAGTTTATGGTCTTGTTTGTTCCTGTTGTTTTTTTTTTTTTTTTTTTTTTTTACCCTCTGAGCTCCGGCTGGACACCTTCATATCACCCCAAACGTATACCAGAATTACATATTAAATGCGGTACATTGTGTTTCACTCACAATTTTTATTATGCTGTTGGGGCGATCTGCAGTGTAGGGGCACATATTAAAATAGGGGGACATTTACTGCTTTTATACGATTAATGAAGCTCCACATGTGAAATTTGGCCGAGTTTAGGCAGTTTTATTGAAAATATCCGGACGTACACTCGTTGCGTAGCTTCATTTCGTAATCCTATTTTTATGACACTTCCCCATCGGAGTCATTAAACACTACTAGACGATTGTTTAAATTTGTAGCTAACCTATCATCTCATATCTTTTGCGACGTTCAAGCTCAGCTGGGTAAAGGTTCTGACGGGTGTGACTTATTTTGTGGCGCAGGGTATTTGGAGAAGCTACCGAACCTGAGGAAGATGTCATCCAAAATTGCATCACAGAGGTTCTTGACACAGCTCCAGGCGCTTGCACATCAGAGATCCACTTGCCTCGGCACCAGAGGTGCGCTGCACACACTCTTAATCTAGTTGCCCCCGCGGATGCTGAAAACGCGTGCAACCAGTTACCTTACGGTGCAATGGCGAAGAATGTGTTTGCAAAACTGAAATGTCTCTGGAGGAAGCAAGCCCAGTCAGTTCAAGCCGCTGAAGCCATACAAATCACCCTAGGAAGACAACTTCCTGTCCCCAACGCGACGCGATGGAACTCTTTGTATAGACGCTTTACAGCAGCTGTGCATGGGCGCCGCCATAACTGACCTTCAGTTTTTGTTCCCTCTTATTCCGTTCGCTTCACTTCATCATTACCACAACAGGACAGGTTATTGCCATTTTAGATGCTACTGTGTTCTTGTGCCCAGCATAGGCCTTTGTGAAGACCCGTCAACGCCCGCTTCAGTGGCTCGGCATCTCGGTAAGACAAGAGAAGGGCAGCTATGGCGGCTCAATCTGGCGCGTGTGTAAAGCGTCTATAACGCTGTAAAGTTCCTGAATGAGGTCTCGAAAGGCAAACTGGACGCCACATTCGAGAGACTTTCGCTGCCAAAGCTACAGAATGAGGAGCTTGCCTTCATCGACGAATACTGCAAGGTATTGTAATAGCGTATTTGTTTCACTTTATGCAGTGCGCTAACCTTTCGTACTCTTTCAGACGATGTATGGCGTGGCGAAGGCACTGGACATCCTGCAAGGCGAGCAGTACATGTATATGGGTGTGCTGCAGCCCACTCTCCACTCGCTCTTGCGATACCAAGGGTCCCTGTCACAAATGCAGTACTGCACCCCACTTTCCAACGCCCTTGAGGCGGGAGTCAAGAAGAGGTGAGCGATATATTTGTTGTTCACTATATTGCTACCCCTCTCTGCACATGCGTTTGCATGGTAGCATATCCGTGCGAGCTATCTACACTTAACATTGTAGGTTTCAATCATCCATATTTCGATTTATAGGTTCAAGCAGTGCAAAAATCTCCTTTTTGTTTCTTGTCTCGTCACAGGTTTTCAGTAGTTCTTGAAGACAAGGACTTGGCCCTTGCAGCGGCGGTTCACCCCAAGTTCAAGCTATCCTGGATCATGGAAAACGAGCGGAAAGCTGCAACTGTACGGCTGCTCGAGGAAGAATGTCGTGCGCTGGAGGAGCACTGCAGTGAGGACGCAACAGGCAAAGAGGATGGCGACGAAGACGATTTTTTTTTTCCACTTGCCTCAAGCATTACCATCATCAACGGAGGTGCAACAGTGGGTGAGCGACCCCGCGACCGATCTGACCGGGCTCTCAAGGTTCCCCATGATAAAGAGGATCTTCATCAGGCTCAACACGGGGATTCCGTCAAGCGCGCCGGCTGAACGCCTGTTCAGCAAAGGACGCGATGTGTTCGCCATCAAGAGAGGGAAGCTCTCCGATGACAATTTTGAAAAACAGTTGATATTAAGTTATAACAAATATTGCAAATAAGTTATAATCGTTAAAATTCTGAAACGACGAATGACACAAAAAAGAAGCACCCTTCGGTTTTAATGTTTTCTAATTTCTCAGCAGTTCATCTTTCTTCTCACTACAGTGTAACAAATAAAATATTTTTTTTGGTTTATGGTTTCTTGTGTCCAATTTTGGTACTGTAACGAGAAAGTAACGGCGTTACTCTTTCTGCGGTAACTGTAACTGTAACACGTTACTTTTTTAATCCGATAACTGTAACTGTAACAGAGTTACTTTTTCCCCCTAGGTAACTGTAACTGTAACACTGTTACTTTTTACTGGTAACTTGCCCATGACTGGCTTTTTGTTGCATTGGGTCACGGAGGGTGGGGTATTCACCATTCTGCACATTTGTTGAAGCTTTTGCTTGCAGCTAAACACTACCCCTATCTCGAAGTGATAGGCAAGTCCCTTAATGCGATGTGCGGTGTTGTGCGAGTAGGGGATAACTGCAAAATGTTTTTTAGGAGGAACAGGAACGGCTGGCGGTGCCCGGGAGGCGGTGATTAGCCTCTTTAGTGTCTTTGCCACTAAGTCTTCAGGGTACCCTGCCCTCTTTAGCCTCTCTGTCTGTAGAAGCACGCTGTGCGCGGTGAGATGGGGGCACGACCTGGTTCCAGAGGATTTTAGGTGTGAGTTCAACGAGACCCCGTTTTACTGCTTTGGAGTGGGCACTCGTGAAGGGCGGACCGGCTTTTGTGTGCGCTGTCTGAACTCCCAGCATATCCCATCGGGGTGCATCTTCAGGTGCAGGTCCAAGTATTGAAGACCATCTTCCGACGGGTCTTCTCTCTTGAAGGAGAGTCCGGTGGGGCTCGAAGCGAAGGCCTGAATGACAGACTCGGGATGGGTCTGCTTTGGGTGCACGATCAGATTAATCGTCTACATACCAGAACACCCGGCTCTCCGGTGCGGTCTCCTCCATTTAGCTCCTATGCACAGCGCGCGCAGCGTGCTTGTACAGAGAGGCTAAAGAGGGCAGGGTATCCTGAAAACTTAGCGGCAAATACACTAAAGAGGCTGATCACCGCCTCCCGGGCACTGCCAGCCGCTCCTGTTCCTCGCAAAAAGCGTTTTACAGTCATCCCTTACTTGCGCAACACCGCACATCGCCTTAAGGGACTCGCCTATCACTGAGCAAACCCCCCGACGACTCCATGCATCCAATAGTCGTACACCGTATGAAGTGCGACGGTTGTTCGCCCAGGTGCGAAGGTACGCGCGTATTGGGAAGACACCGGCAGAGATTTGGCAGGGAAGTCGCCGAATCGTACGCCATTAATAGCTTGGTCGCTAACGTCGCTTCGGCTTCTCTATCTAGCCCTTTCCGACAGGCAGATGAAATTCCTCCGTCCCGAACTGGGCAAAAGGGACCAGAGGCCTTGAGGGAAGGCCGCGAATAACTCGTTTTTTCCCCTCCTCCTCTTTCAAACCCCCCCCCCCCCTCCTTTTTCCTTCTCTGCTCCCTCCCCTGAACCTGCTTGATAGCCGTCGTTTGAACGGAGACGAAATAAATGTTGGTGAGAGTTGAAAGAGTTGTAAGCGTCTGCTTTCGTCTCAAATTTTGTTTATTCTTGCCGATTGTTTAAGTATAATTACCAACACGCTCGTTTTTAATGTTAAATCCGGTCGCTGTAGCTGTTTTACTATACGAAGTTGGTACTGGTGTGGGACTTTAGCGACAATGAGTGGAAGTCTGGAATAATAAATAAAAAACGTGCTCTCCTGGCGCAATAGACGCAGTGGTTGAGTTGCCAGCTGACTCCACTGCTATTGAAGTAACAGGGCAAAGATACGCTAGTTGATCATTTACTAAGATAAAACAACAGAGCGCTAAAGGCTGATTTTGGAGTAGCCATAAATATTCTAAGAATGCGAACCACTTCATAACGGCAGCCACGAGTGAGAGTTCGATGTTTGGTACAGCCCGTCGGTACAGGCCAAAGATGGAGAACGGCAACCTCCCTGTTTGTCGTCTGCTAGCAGAGTCAGGCGCGTGCCCTCTCTCGTTTTACCCCGCCGACCCTGCTGAACTTCCCGGATGTGTGGAGAGGGTACTGTGGTCTAACAAAATGGCGCCGCCCTGAGAGAACTAAATGGAATGGTCTATAAGCTCCCTACGGAAGCCAGAGTTGCGCATCTGTTTTCCACGTGCCGCCGGGCCGCTATTCGCCGGGATCCGATCACGTGAGGAGCAGACTCAAATGCCGTGCAGGAAAGTAGACGTTGTATGCGCCCCAGCGCACGTTCCCCTGCTTCAGTCAGATCCTCACCTGAATTCAGTCAGATGAGGAGCAGGATCAACGTGCCGTGCAGGAAAGACGGCGCTACGGGGATGAGCACGCAACTCTGGCTCCCATAGGGAGCCTATACAGGAACTCTGCAAGCACTGGTACCACAGATCGAGCAGCACCTACCTCTCCATGCTTATGCCGGAAACTCTCAGCCTCGGGGTTCGGCCGTGGTTGGCGCCAGGCATGTAGCAAGTGGGGGGGGGGGCCCATGGGGCTTGGCCCCCCCCCCCCCCCGAAATCTTCCATTTTGCTGGGACCTCCTGTCCCCCCTCCCCCTCATACAGCATTTTGTCATGGCGGCCCCCCCCCCCCCCCTCCCTTTGCCCGAAACAAAATTCCGGCTACGTGCTTGGTTGGCACGGTCTCGCGCGGCGAAATGCAGCAGTGTCCTGTGAGCAGTTAGAAACAATCTCGCTCACCAGGGCGTGCACAACTATATGCTCTCTTTTCCAGAGTGAGGGTAAAAACCGGATTTTAAGCCTTGTTCAACTTCTTACTAACTGTGCAGCGATATTACCAAT